AAACAATCCTCTTTGACTCAAATGTTAATTTTAGTAATGAGTTCTACTCTTTATTACGTTAATTGGTGTTTTTTTTTATTTTTAATAAGTATACTAATATTGGTACCAAGACGGTGGAATTCATCGAAATGGAGAAAATTGTTGATTAAGGTAATTTTAGACTATCAGCAGTTGGATCTCAAGCAATAGTATTATGTCAAATATTATTGTATATAATTATCTTTATTTTGAAGGGACGAAACTTCTAAAGACATATTTTGTTTAATCTTATAACGTAAAGCCACCGGGAAGGGCAAAAAAATAATAGGAATAAAAAAAAAAATTTTTTTTTAGCTTAATTGTGTCGGTTCAGTTTTGCACACGATGTTGATAATTCATACTCGTTAAGGGGTGTCCAGTGAGTGCTCAATAAAGAAGATCTGATTAGAACGGTGGTTCGATGGCTATTTAATATGTGCAGACGATAGTCACCCCCCAAAAAGTACTTTCCAGGAACAAACATCTTTGTTTACGGAGATTCTAGACCCCCAAAATCTGCAGAATACTCGCAATTATAGATCTGGGAACTAACTAGTGTGCAGCGATCATGGGTCGCTAAGCCTAGATCGGTTAATTTTATAGTTTATTATTTTCAGTCTATTAAAAAAATTTTTTTTAGGGAAGACATTAGATAACCGTTTTAACTAAAAATATAGATTGTTTATTTATGATTAAAAAGAAGAAAAAAACTGAATTGAATCACAAAAAAAAAATAAATAAAAATTATACGATAGATAGAATAAAAACAAGCAGAAAAACCTTTCAAAAGTTTCAAAAAAAAAAGAAAGTTTTTCCACTCATTAAGAAATGAGATGTGCATTGAAGAGAATAAACACGTTTCTGTGATGACCTTGAAGTTGAACAGAAATATACGATCTTGTGTTGATCCAAATGAATTGCATATGTCTTGATTTACAATTCACAGAAACATTTATCTACATTTTCTTTCCATTCCAGGGTTGGATAAGTATCACAACTTCTCCTCCATCACAAGTACTTTCTTCTTCTTCTTCTTCATACGATTGTGAGTATTTGCAAATTTCTTCTTTTTTATTCATTCATTTTCTTATTTGTGTTGATTAAATTTTGCAATTGGAATTATGATTAAATCTTGCAATTGGAATTATCATCACTGGTTACTTTTGAGCATGTTTTGTTGAATACCCCATTTTTTAATACTTTGATATATTTTTTATTTTAATTTCATTAAAAGCGACTGATTTTTATAGCTCGCCTATTTACTATTTAAATATTCCATAAGCATTAGAAATAAGCATTCTTCATAAATGTCATTTGTGTTTTTTCAATATGGAAAGAGACAAAATGGATTTTGTAAATAGGCCTAGCAAAAGTGAAAATCTTTAGGATGTCGGAGCAATTGCGTCGCTTTTTTTATCTTTAATTCTGACATAAAGGTCTCAATGAGTTAAGATTTTGATGTGTTTATACTTAAAACGATCTTTAAAGATACTATTTTAGCAATTCAAAAGACAAAAAATGAAAATCACGAACACATTCATAGATTAGCACATCTCATGCACAAATCTCTTTCCAAAAAAAANAAAAAAAAAAAAAAAAAAAAAAAAAAAAAAAATATGTTCATTAGAAGTTGAATTGGCGACTTTCCACATTCTGATGGCGTTGCCCTGTCATTTAATAAAGCAAGTTGAAAATCATTGCTGAAAAAAAATCCAAAGACTCAAGAAGTTTTTTAATTTTGAACTCCTTTCTGTGAAAGACTGTCCATCAGGTAAAATTTGATCAGATCGTACGATTTAGCAAACTTGTTTAATTCTTTCGAATAACGTAGAAATTCCATGGCTTGCAAAAAGATTATTTCTTTAGGATTTTGACATTAGTTTCCATATCAACACAATCAATTATTTTATTTTATAACCGTCGTGGAACAGCCATTTTACGCAATTCCGGCTTGCACAGTGCTAACCTCAAAATATCCTCAGTGGTAGACGAATCCCCTTGTCGTCAGACTAACCGTGGGAGGTTCTCGTGGTCTCCATGTAATGCGGGTTAGCTCCATCAAAAAGTCTTCCTCGAAGTCACCCACTACCTGATCCAGGAGTCTTCTGGATTGGGGTTCAAAATGACAAGGCTACGAATGAGTGTCCCAAAATGTTCTTCTATACCAGTGGTGCGCAAACTTTTTTCGACTGCGACCCCTTTTGTAGAGAGAAAATTTTTGGCGACCCCTAGAGATAAATGTTCACAAATACGATGTATATTTCGCACATTTCTTTCGTTTCATCGAATAATAACATCATCATATTTGACTCATATTAATTTTATTTATAATTTTAAGAAAATACTTTTTGTATAACACAAAAATCAGTAAATTGCCCTTTAATGAGATGTATGTGGCTGCAAGTTTCTAATTATCTCATCGATGTTTGGATGTATGTTGCTAATTGCAATTCGCATATCATCTTCAGGTTTTAAACGCGAGTGGTATTTAGTTTTTATTGAAACTAGTTTGCTAAATCCAGTTTCACATAAATACGTTGATGCAAATTGTATTAACACTCTGATGGCATTCTTGCATAAAACGGG